TCTTGAAGTGAAAATCTAGAAGACTAACTGTACATTCTGTCAAAGTTAGTCTGGCCAGCTAAAGATAACATACTGAGACTGTGTTCCACCTTTACAGAAAACCTTTGGTGTGGTGAACACTTCAGATGAAAAGGTATGCAGATATGTAGAACAATAGATTTTCAGTCTCATGAGGTTTGCTTGCTGGAGGCTGCCTCCATGATTAGCATATCAAAGAGTAGTCAGAGACAGCTTACAAGGGGAGTCTTTGAAGTAAGGTTTTGACATAAGGTTCATCCTTGTTGTGTCATGCTGTGTGTGTGTATGGGATGGGAGGGAAATCTGTAGGAGGGTTTATCCAAGGCTTCCCCAGGATCAATTCTTGGAAGTAGTTTATAGAACAGAGAAAGGGGCTTAGCTGGACTTGTTCCATTAAGAACAGACACGTAAGAGATTCATGATTAATAAGAAAAGATAGCAAACTTTAAAGCCAACCCTTTAAAGTTTCTGATGTCCGGAAACTGTTGTTCTTGCCTCTGTTCCTGTAATTCATAAAAGACCAGAGTGACTAGGTAACCATTAAGCCCATGAGCCACGCAGAAGTAGTTTGCTAAAGGTGAAACTACATCCCTTAAGAAAATGGCAGGTCCATGGTGAGTATTTTCCTCTTGCTCAATAACTATACAGCTTGTTTCACATGCTGATACCATTAGACTGAGTTTTCCCCTACAATTATCTGCAGTAGTCAATTAGGTAGATTGAATTAGGGTGGCAATGTGATGTTATCAGAACATAAGGTGAAATGGACTGATTGCATTTTTAATTGCTGCTTGCTCAAATACAGATCAAATAATGAATTAATTTATCTTACTGCACATTCTTTTAAATATGTTGTGCTGTTTAGAATGCTCAAACTTATGTGAAACAAATTAATAAATGCTACAAAGGATGATGATAACAATAAGGAGCTACCATTTTCAGTAGAAGCCTTGAGTATCTTGAACCATATTGTTCTGTCTGAACTTTCTGTGACAATGAGTTACTTTGTACAACACTGTGTGCCTGGCCACCAGCCCTCCCAGCCCTCCATACAGAAAGGCTACAACTTACTCAGAAGAAAATGGATGTTCAGCGGAGATTGTGAGGCAGAATGCTTTGCTGAAAAGCTGCTAGAAAAGTTTGCCATGTCAGTTGAGCAGTTCAAAAAAAAAAAAAACAGACTCAGACCTTTACCCCAATTGCTAGGTAAATGCAAGAGTGGTCATGTGACCCTCTTGCAACCCTCAGAAAGCAAAGTGATCTTGTGACTGTCCCCAGACATGTACTGACTACAAAACCTTGATTCAGCCTTTCAAAAGCATTACACATTTCTGGCTTCTAAGCCTTTAGAACACATAGTTATCTTCTAAAGTTTCTCTTGGCAAGTGTGATGGATAGACATTTTTGAAGTTTTGCACAAAGGCATTGCCGTAGGGTATACATGTTACAGAAGGGCCAAATGCTTTCTCTCTTAAGTCCCCTCTATAACAACTATGAGTGTAAATAGTAGGCATTTATTCATGGATAAACTGTCCAGATTGATTATACATTTCAAAAGATCCAAGCTGATATAACATGTAAGCCAATCAATAGCCTAAGTACTTTCTGTTACTTTCTTTAGTACTTGTAAAGATGAATTACAATGCCTAAGGAACTTCTACCATGATGCTTCCTTGATATGTCAATATGTGAATTTTCAGTTTCCATGGTTAAGAAAATGAAAACATTGGTGCCTTTAGAACACACACTTTAAAATGATATAGTTGGGACAGAAAAAAAGCTGTTTTCTCTGGGAACATATTTCACCAATATTGAAAGAGCTCCATTTGTTACCAGATTGTCTCTGGTCCAAATTAAAGGTGCTGACTCTTAACTTCAGACCCCTGAGAAAAACTAAGGGATTGCCTGTTCCTTTAAGTACCCTCCTGTCACTTGTTGTCGAGTAGTAAGTTTCTGACATCGTCGTCTTATTTTAGACTGACTTTGACTCTGTTAGGGTATTTTTCTCCCTATGGATTTCTTCACCTGCCAAGTCTGAGAACTTCTGCTTAGGCAAGCTGTTAAGGCTTTCCTTTTTAGACAAGCGTGACACGTGCCTGAAAGTCTTTGCATATGTTTTCATCATATCTACTGGTCATGTCTGGTGCTGCCAATAGACCAAATGAGGCAGGTGCTTCGGGTGGCAGATGATGGGTGATGGGGTATAGGCAACAGTTGTAGTGCCTTTATCTACCTTGATGTGTGGTGGATGATGATGTCCCATCACCAATATGAAGTAAGAAAGATTTACCTGCCTGTCTGACCAGTGTTTGTATATGGAAATGGAGGCAGGAGGTACCATCTTGTCTGCCTCAAGCAGCAAATGTCTTGAACTCGCCCTGCTGCTGCTTTGTGATTGGGGTTCTTTAATTACTGTTTGAAAATGAATTTTAAGATTTTTGTATTTTGATTGCTTTTTGCCTGGAAGAGAACTTGTATAAATTGAAAAGTGGATTATAAATGGTCTAAATATTAAATAAATATTTCCAGTGAATCAAATCATTGTTAGCAAGAAGTATAAATGGATTTTTAATGTGCTCATGATTTGTTATAATAGACAGGAAAAATGAATACAGAATTTGTATATTTAATATGCTAAGCAGACTACAAAATGGTCTTAATGAAGCATCTGGTGAAAGAATACATTTTCTCTGCCTCACTACTTTCTACATTAGCTTGCTAGGCATGACTTCAAAAGGGCAGCTTGTCAGATGTTCGGGGGCATCCAGTCACCCAACTGCTTGGACTTCAGATTTCTGTGCAGAGCAATCTGTTATTAGTGCCTAGTCCAGCCCACACTTTCTCCTTTGTTCCAGTGTTATGAATAGCACCCCTGTTATTTCCCTTGTTATTTTGAACTGCAATGCATGGGCTATTTGACAGTGAAGAACTCAAGCATAACGAAGGATACAAGAGCTCAGGAAGGCTTTGTGTTGTCCAGTGAAGGCTTAACGGGGAAAGCAAGCCCTCTTATGCTTTTTCCTATCCAAGCAGCCAGTGAACAGAGCCAATCTAGGGCCTGACGCTGCCACCAGCAGCAACTGGTACACTGCACAGGGCAAGTGGCACTCGCTATGCTGAGCCTCCTGCGTTTGGCATGCCATTTGGATGCTCCTCCTGCGTTACTCTTTCATCTGCCAAATGAACCCTGGCGTTCAGACCAAATAAATCTTCACACACCTTGCTCAGATGTCTGTAAATGTTTGCATTTTCTCTTCATGCATTGTGCTTGGCTTACTAAAACATGGGCCTTTTTGAAATGAAGCTTTACAAAGAACTTCTGTTCTTACCCCACATTCTGTTGCATATGGAAAATTCAGAAAGTGGATATTCTGCTTATTTCTGGTGATGTGTCAGTGAAAATATTTCCAGGGGATCAATAATACATGCCACATAGTATTATTCGCATAATGATAGACCAGGAGGTACATTTCTTTACAATAAATGGAAAAAGGATCCAAGAAAAAATAATCCTGAGTATTATTCCATATGGGAATATCTTTTATCCCCAAAGTCATACAAGATTGAATTGTCCACTAGTACCATCCATCCTATTGCTTTGCCCAATCAGTGGCCACAATGGTAACTGATTACCTAGTATTGACAGGGTTGGTCCTACCATCAGGTAAGTGTGACGTAGCCCAACTCTGATGTAAGAATGTACAAATCAGCAAAACTCACACTTGCTAAAGTTCTCCAGATTCTATCTAACAGTTGTTCTGACTCAAGTTCATATCAGATTGTAAGCTTTGGGGGTTTTTTCCTTTTGTTCTTTCTGCATGAAAATCTATGTGAATTTTTCCAAATGTATGTATTGGTTATACACAGTTTTGAAATGTACACATTCTTCTCCCACTGATTATAGCATATTTGAGTGCAAAGTATGCATTTTTCCAATGCACATGTGTTGCCAAAAGTTTTTTGTTTGTTTTGTTTTTGACCGTGGATTATATCGCAAGGTCAAAAATGTGCAGACTTCAACCACAGCTTCCACCCAAGCCTGTGTTCAGCCTGCAAGGTGAACTGGGGAAATCCTGATTGTAAAAAATGATTTGAAATGAATTTCTCACATATTAGTGATATATTTGTGACTAACATTAAGAAGCAGCAAACATTCCATTCACTGTCATTCATTAATGTATTATTGTACCATCACAAATTATCTACCATGCAAGATGCCTTTGGGATTTTCTTCCCCAGACACTGATCAGGTTCATGTGATCATGGGGGAAGAAAAACCACATACCACCTGAGTGCTTTGATACTTGCACAATCGTATCTGAAGCTGGGAAGCGTGCAGTGAAAGTGACTTCTTAACCACTGGAACCCATGGCTTGCTGTTAGGTTCAGATAACATGGGGAGCAGTGAAGCAGAATAGTAGGAAAATCATGCAGTACACACATGGGAAGCAGGAAGAAGCCACTATGACTTCTTTTCGCCCTTGATAATGCAAACATGGGTACCACCTTACTGTCTGAGTAAGGAAGACTAACAGTATCAAGTGTGATTCAAAAGCAAACAGAAGATTCACACAACACAATATGCCATGGTTGCTATAAGCCTGGGGTAGCTTGTCATGTTGTCTGAACATAGCCAGAGTGGTTAACAAACCAAGTTGCTGGATTTGACAGCATAACAAGCAATCACGGCTTATGAGCAACTGCAGAACATTTTATTTTCTCTGTAAAGCAACCTAACGGCATCACAGTTAAAACAAGAAAATACCAAAGCCTGAATAAATCTGTGACTTTATTTGTTGTCTCATTAACTTCCAGTAGGGAAACGCCCTAAGCTGGCATGTTCCCTGTAAATGTGGCATCTTAAAATTATACTAGTTTTATTTTAAGTCCATACTACTAGAGAGGATGTCTTGCAGAAAGACAGTTGCTTTGTGTAAAGTCTATCTGCATTCACAATTTGCTTCTTGTCTTTCTTTTAATAGGGTTGGTATAGATCCAGATGAAGATCTGAAGACAGAACCTGATACTCAGGCAAGTTACAATTTAAATACTTGAAAAGGACATTTTCTTCGGGCATGTACATTTCAGGGGCATTAAAATCTGTAGTGTAGCTTTCAAAACCCTTGAGAAAATGTCCACGTCTTCCCTCAAAGTCAGAAAATCCTGCAAGTGCTTATTACAGTCTACCATTCTCTGTGGAAGTAAAATAAAATGTAACTTTAAGAGGAATTTCACACAACACATTAAGCCACAGTGATTCAGCATGTGGTCTGAACCCAACACTCTTCCTGCAGCATGGTTTATAAACTGCCCCAGCTAGCCATGGCTCATAGTTTAATATACCTGCCATGGCTTATTTTCCCTTGTCCAGACAACAAAATAAAACATGTTCAGGTTTTGCCAATCCAGCCAAAGAGTAGCAGATAACCATCAAAGTTCCAAAAATTGGGACCCCAAAAGCCTTCCCCCTTTTCAGGTAAAGAGGCAGACTTGCCCTTTATCCCCAGCCTTGTGCCACCCACTGGCTTTTCCCACAGGTTTATCCAGTTCCTGGGGTGCTACCCACTCAGGCTAACTTGAACAAGAGAATAGCTGAGGCCTCCAAACCCCAAAAAACCCTGGGGATCCTATTTGTTCCCTTCAAAAAACAGATTCTTTTTAATAGATTCCTGGGGGAGGGTTAACAGTTCCTTGTGCCTCTGTGATCCACACTTGAGAAAATGAGGGCAGCCCAGAGCCAAGTGAATACTCCCAAAAGTCCAAATGGCCACAGTTCAAGGGATATCTTAGTGCTCTGAAGGGGGGGGGCAGAAGGGGAAAAGAGGGGGGCACAATCCCTGTTTTGTCTGCAGGAACAGAGAACTGTTTACCACAAAACATTTTTTTTTTAAATTAAAAAGGTGGTTCAACATGCTGGGTACCTGAGCTGATATTGGGTAATAGCAGACTTGATATTTTAATACAGTTGATCCATTAACCTACTTTTTCATTGGTTTCTTTTTTAAAATAAATAAAAAAGCAATTCAAAATATGCCTTGGGTATAAATCAAGGAAACATATTATTCAAATTTTGAACTTTGGGAAATGCTTCTAGGTCAGGCTATTATAAATGTGCATTAGCCACTTCAGTGTAGGAGGCTGGATATATCTAATGTGACTGTGCATTCTGAAAACTGCATCAAGCAGCAGTAGATGTTCTGAGAACTGAGTGGCTGCTGGAAGGCATGGCTATGCCTGAGTCTGAGCCCACCTAAATCTATGGGTTGGGTAAGCCCTAGGTTTTAGTATGTGCTAGTCATTACTTGAAATGAGGCATGCACAAATCTTTTCAACCCAGGGAACTACATATGAAGCTGGACTGGGGATCAGTTGCTGCACACATCCATACAGGTGTGCATGCATTTACACATACAGATACCAGGAAACTGTGTGCAGCTTTCTGTGTGCGGGAATACAGTCTTCTCTCCTCTTCCTAAATGAAGACTGCCTGTGGAGGTAGAGTGATGTACAGCCACTGGCCAGCAATAGGAGTGATAAGGTGTTCACACTAGGGGCACCAGTTGTTCAGCCCTGTTTAAAGCCAACTTTGCAAAATAATTTTTCTCCTCTTTTTTGTCCCGATTGTCTCCTCACTGCACCCATCTGATGATGCAGATCTGTAAAAATGCACATCACAATAAATTTGTTAGGGAGCAATTGCATCTTGAGTACAGCAGTGCCCATATGTGGAGGGTACTGATAATGCTCAATAGACCCCTGTGTTCTACCACAACACACCCAGTGTGTGTCTATGAACATGAATGTAAGCAACATGCCAAGGCATTGCATTGAATGGGAGCTCTGACTATGTGCTTGTTTTCCTTCCCCTATGCACATCAGGACATGAATAACAATGCATTGCACTGAGAAAAAGCAAGGCTGCCTCAAGACCGCTTGCTGCCTAAGGTGGAAAAGATGCCTGCACATTCCCTGCCATCCATTTCACATACAAAGCCCAACCAGGCAGAATTATAGATTGCAAAGAACACAAACACACTTGAGGGCAGCAAGCTAACTGAGGGAAGGATAAGGCAGGCTGCATAACTCTCCCCCACCATCTTCTGTTGCTTCCCATGCCACAGAATCTGAGGCCTCATTCCACCAATTTTTATTGCTGGCCTCAAGAGAAAGGGCTGGGCATAAATGTATCAGGCTTCCTATTCCTTGCAAGGACTCCTTGTGCTGTTTGAATGAGTGCCAGAGGGCAGGGTGAAACTAGGAGAACCTATGGCCCTGCAAATGTTGTAGGAATCAACCAACCATAGGTCCCAACTATTTGGGTCAATAGCCACAGATGATAGAAATTCTAGCCCAACAACATCAGAAGTGTACCAGGCTCTGCACTCCTGCTTCAAAGGTTCCATATGTGCTTTTCTTTTCACAGACTGGATGCTTTCAAATGTTCATCTCATCACTTTCAGTTCTGATAAAAGAAAACTCTTGCAAGTCTTCCTTTGAAATAGGAAGTTTAGACTTAGTTGTACTGTCTCTAGTCTATCAAAGTAATCTGGACTCACATTGGCCTAATCATATTACATTATGCTCATCAAGGCAATCGCAATTTTTTGTGCCATGTCTGATCTGTCACTTCTCAGTGCATTTATCACTTGCCCTGCAATGGACCAACAGCTCATTTATTTCCACTTATTCACTAATAGTCTTTCATAATGCAATATTGTGAGTCCATCAATAATGTTCAGAAATAATTGGAAGCAGTCACTTCACTCTGTTCCAAACTTGTTTAGAATACAAAGCTACCCTTGACGTGCACTAGTGCAGAGATTGCCATTAAGTTTCTTCATTCATTTGGCTTATTTAAATAAATGTATACCTGCACTTCCATCACAAAGGCTCTCAGAGCTTCAGAGACAACTAGAATACATATGAAATATCAAACAATATTGACAAAAATATAAAACAAGTCATAATTGTATTGATGAAATCTGAAAACATTGATATAGTGTGGAACTGTCACATGGGCACTTACAGCCAGAAAGAAAGAAAGAAAGAAAGAAAGAAAGAAAGAAAGAAAGAACTACTAATTTCCATTAACATCGAAGGAAAACAGAGCAGACTTAGCCTATAAAGTATAAAAATAATGATGGTGCCAAAAGAATGTCTAGGAAGAGAGTTCCAGTGACAGGGTAGCTACCATAGACCTTCCCTCCATCTGCCACCACTCCTGACTGGTAGGTATTGCTGCCCAAACCTAGGGTAGCACAACAAAAAAAGAGGTGGCCAATAACCAAATAAAAGGAAATGCATCACCAATAAAGAGTACAGAAGAGGGATAGTGATTGGTATAATATTTGCACATATTAGTATATATGTAGAAACATAACATCAAAAATAATTTGTATACTTTAAATAGAAATCCAGTACATCTTACCATGGTGTGGACAATTCTGGACAATTGACCAGTGTCCCTGGTTGTTCTGTCTGCTGTCCAGATGCTAACTGCTGAAGAATGTTCTTATGGTTCTTAATCTTGAAATCAGAATTAGACGGGCCAGCCCTTCAAATAGAAGACTGGCCTCTATAAAAAATAGAATATATGGCCACCTAACACTGAGCTAGGCAGTCTTCTCCTTCTCAGGCAAAGGGAAAATGGTAGCCAGAGAGTGCTAAATTCTGAGCTGATGGTGATGCTTGCCTTTTTAATGTCCTCAGTGCCCCTGGTTATGCTACATCTGGGCCTAGATGCACTGTGGAAGAATTAAAATAAGAAGTTCTGGCAGCAGCTGGAATGCACCAGTTGGAGCACTGGTTGGGTGTGTAGCCAAAACTCCTACATTGCACAGCACTATGATAAGTGGAGGGTCCCACAATGTGAGTGTGGGGGCCACCTGCGCAACCAACAAACCTATCATCACTGTAGAAAAGGTCCTTTCTTTGATAACCAGATGTCTTCTCTCTAAAGATGGAAATACCTGGAGAAAAGCTCAGATAAGAACCTTACTTCCAGCCAGGTTCATACATGTTCACTTGTGATATTATTACAAAGGCTGAGTGCTATTTTGTATCATTATTTTTAAAAATGTGCTCAGAAAAAGCTGCTATTCAACTGGCTTCAATACCTAAATGAACCTCAGGGAGTTGCACCTTCTCAGAAATACTTTAATAGTACATAATTTTTGCATAAGTGGTTCAGAACACCCTGTGCCTGTTATGAACTACTGTATATTTGACATTTTGAACTGTTTCATGTTATTAAATAGAGATAAACTGGCTCTAGCTAGAATATAAATTGCACACTCCCCTGCCCCAACCCAAATACATACCTCTTCAAACGACAGTGCCACAATCCAACACAGAATTCAGTGGACCTGGGCCCATGCCTAAGGCTGCTAATCCACAAGTACATATATAAGCCCCACTGAAGCCAACAGCAATGCAGTCTGGCACACGGACACAGAACCTCAGCCACAGGGACCACATTTGGCCTTACATTGTTTCCCAGATAAGTATGTCTCTTTCCCCAACCACCTATTAATACGCAGTTTTTTCCCCACTCTCACAATCTGAAATGTTTTGTTTAAAGCATTGTTTTTGGCAGTGAGAGCTTTAGACTAAAATGTTATTACAGTACCTGTATTATTATCTATTTGGTATTTTGGCCATGCCACTTTTGCCTTCGGATCTGTCTCTACAGGAAAGCAGGCTCTTATGAGTTTCTCCAAGAGGGATTCAGACGTCAAAGGGAGATGTTGAAAGAGATTCAATACCCTGGTTTAGCATGACATGGACAAACATCAACAAGCCTTGGTCTCATGGACTCCCTTCTGCCCAATCTTCCTCTGGCATAGCCAGAAAGATCAGCTTGGAATCTTTTGCTTACCCACAATTTGTCAGATCACCTGAAGCAATAAACAATGCTTAATGTTAACTTTGTTTGGTAGGAATGGTTCCAAATTGGAACCATATATAAATATATAAACCAAATATAATGAATATCAATAGTTTGTTCATTTGGACATCCTAATAACCTGTGGTTAAGCAAAAGCAAAGGTTTTGAACCCCTCCTTGCAGCTGTATCATGGCTCTGGCAAGACTTCTTCAGGCTTACTCATGTCATGCTGACCTATGTTATTTCAAAACATAGTCACTAAAACTTCAAAGTATACATAGGTTCTGGGTACGTCTCTATCTTGGATTAAGGCCAGCATCTTTAGGAATGATCCACATGAAGTTTCTGTCTGTAGCTTTTTTCAAGCTTTTTTTGTATCACAGAAAGGAATTCTATGACACGTAATAGGAATGTGAATCCTGACTTTGATTTCAATACTTTTTATCAGCTTCTAAGAATAACTGCTGACCTAATTTCATTAATGCTATGAGAGTTTCATAGCTTCTCTAGGATTCAATTCTTTTCTCAAAGAAGAGCAAATGTTTCCAAACTCAGTAGTTCTACTTAAAAAAAAAAAACAATGCCAAAATCAACCATAAATATATTGTCTTTTTCCCCTTGGAGTGGGTTTTTTTTCCCCCTTCTCACCTCAAGGAGTCTCTTGAAAGAAGTTTGGTATGTTTTTACATGTTCTCAGGAAAACCAAGAAAACCCCATGTGATGCAGAAGAGTCTATTTTAAGTGTTGTACTTTCTATTGTACTCATATTTTCAAGTCAATTAGAGCTCAAGTATCTTTGAAGTCACAAGAATTTGTGCCCATTTTTTATTTATATTTTATGTATGTTATAGTTTTAATTCACCTTAGCCACAGATTTTCAGGATAGTAAAAACAAGACACAGTCCAATTTATCAAAACCAATGGAATATGATCCCACTGAAAATACAAAAACATTATATAGTGCCAATTAAAATTACCTTGAAATGGTAATGTCACTGTCCACTGAGGCATGGACTACGGTCACCATAGGAAGGCTCTCAAAATCCATGGTCTCCTCCTGCCAGAGGTCACCATATGACATGTCCCAACCAATCATGTTGTGATTTTTCCTCTAATGGCCACTGTGTGTGGCACCTCTAAATGTGATGGCAAATGCTTCCAATACAACCATGATGTATCTGGTAGCATTTTGTAAGAACAGAAACACTGTTTTTACACTATGTAGACATGCACATGGTGGGCATGTCGTGAGCAGAGCCAGCTAGAGCCAGGGGTCAGACTAGATGGCCTGGGAGACCCCTTCTGACTTGCTCTGTTTCTATATATCTATGTTTCTATTTCTGAGAGCACCAAGACCCGTTCTTTCCTGCTGAAGTATAGTCCAAACATGATCTGCAAGAGAAGGAAAATCTTTGATTTCTAAATTGAATCAATACTTGTAAATTAGTTTATATGCAAATATTATGCAAAATATATTTAATGATGCACTTCTTCTTTTTTGGCAATGTGTTAAAAGCCACCCTGAGCCACCAGCTGCTAGGAAGCCATTCCTTAGTTTTATTTTAAGGATCAAGAGTGCAATTAGGTAGGTCTACACAGGGCTTTATGGTGATCTGATGTAACATGAATCAGTACATCTAATAAGGTACTTGCTATTTAGTTGATATTGTGTTTCTACATCCCTACACATCTCTGATGTGCACTTTACTACAAGAATAGCAGTTAGATGGTATTGCAGATATCTTCTGTAGTAGACTTCACTTTCTTGGTATATACCAACTCTCCTTTCCTGCCCCCAGATAATCAAACTGCCGTGGATAAAAAGTGGCATATTTAAATAAAACATATTTATTTTATATGTTGTGTTTCTATATGGAAATGCTAGTAAAAAGGCAGAAATATTCTAACCCATTTCAAAATTTGCTGCAATATTTAGCATATAAGCCCTTAAAGTTCTCAGAACTAGTAACCAGGATAGGTTAGTACTGGGATTTTCATAGCCAAGTACAACATTTAACAAGCTTTTGGCCTGAACATTACACTTTTATATTCATATTGTCTTTTTTCACCTTGTTCAGGACATATACTATGGATGTGTTTGCTGATAATTCAGAATTACAGAGGGTACTGAGTGTGCTACACAAGGACCCACAATGCTCAACTTGTAAAATAGTTGCCTGAAATTTGAAGTCATTGAATAAAATAGCAGCAACTCTTGTTATGTTCCAGTATTGGTTTTCTCATATTGGCAGGTGGGTAGGGGGTAAAGGGAAGAGTGGAAAGTAAATGTGTCATAATTATTACAATATTATGGCCCCTGTAGGACCTTTTTGTAAGCCACACTCAAAAAATCAAATCAAATCAGAAACAAATGCCTTCTCAGTTTGACAGGAGTAAATGGAAAGTAATCCCATCGCAGCAATTTAAAAGAAATATCATTTTATTGATCACAAAATATAGTGTCCCTCAGCTGTTTAATAAAAATGGAATCATTCATAAAAATAAATCCTGAACTATTCTACATGAGTACCAATGCAGAAAAGAAAAATATGGAGTACAATCTAGTGTGCTCAAAAGTAGATCTGTAGCAAAATTGTAATATTCTACATCATTGCGACAAAAAATGCGCAAACAAAAGGATCACTGTAGCCCACCATGGCTCATTAAAGCTACAGTGAAGCATAGGGGATGCCGGCAGCCATGTTGATTATACAGCCCTTGGCAGAGGTAAGATGAAATATGCTTTTATATCATGTTCATGTTTTAACTTTAACTTACTTGCTTGTAGTTTGGGCATCTTCAAAAGGGTTTTAAAATGTTGTTGTTGTTGTAGCCTGCAAGTAACCCGGATAAAAACACCACAAAAGCAGAAAGTGCCTGGCTCTTCAGAATATGGTATGGCTTTGACCATAAGTATCCTCTTATCATGTTAGCAACCGTGACTCATAGAAAGTAATTCCATTAAAGAAGAAAATAATGGAGATAAACTTAGTAGGGTAACTAGATATTCCTTTCATTTTTAAGTACGGTGTGAAATTGAATCATATTGCTGTTACAGAGAAGAAAAAAACAGCTGTGAGTTCAAAGAAGGCTCTGAAATAGAAAACTGCTGTCACAGAACTTTTCAAGACAGTGAGAGGGAATAAGGCTGAGTACTTCTAACCTCAATAAAAAAAGTATTCAGTGTTTACAACAAATCAATAGTTTTGAAGTTCTTAGAAATAAAATGGTTATTTATTTACTTTCTTAAGGGAATAATCCTAAACCCGGGGAGGCTGCTTGTGAACTTAGTGGATGCTCCTATCCACAGATGCAGAGAGGGACCACAGGCACAGGCCTCCACAGTGTGGCAGCAACCTCTCCAGTGTCGTGGCTCAGTTACCTACAGTGTCCTATATGTGGCAGCCATGATGAAGCACTTTAGAGCAATGCTAGGGGCACGCCAGCAGAGGAGATAGATCTGCAGCCGCCTCTAGGCTCCTTTTGGTTGATGAATTCTGTTGATTCCGTTCTACCCCACTGTTGGTCTGAGCTGTTAAATTTTAGAAATGATGGATATTCCACCACAGATCTCTCTCTCTCTCTCTCTCTCTCTCTCTCTCTCTCTCTCTCTCTCTCACACACACACACACACACACACACAAAGAGGACAAATAGAGTTGCTCTAAAACATTCCAAAAGAAACTGGATAGCCATCTGAGTGGGATGGTGTAATGTGGTGTCCTGCAAGAGCAGGGGGTTGGACTCGATGGCTTTCATGGCCCCATCCAACTCTACGATTCTATGATTCTAAGTTAATTTCTATACTGCTTTTTAACCCACATAGGTCTACAAAATGGCTTATGAAAGTAAAAAAACTTGACAGCATCATCAAATGATACTATATTATTCTTATTTATTTATGTAAGCCATCCTGAGGCCTACACAACAGGACAGCATACAAATATTATATATAAATAAATAAATAAATAAATAAAACAAGCAATACTAAAATTCATGCAAGCAATACTAAAATTCAGAAAGCCAACAAACAATCTGACCTCAAGCATAAAATTGTAAAACCTCCCTGAGACATGACAGTGTGAAGGACGGCACATAAATGTTTTAAATAAATAAATAAAGACTCCTCACTGAAGTTTGAAAATTTAAAGAGAAAAATATAATAAGCATCCCTTGGGAGAGTTTCAAAACTTTTGTGGTACCACAGGGAAGAAGATCCTGCCTTCCATGCTAGCCACCTCCACCTTTGCTCCACAAAGAGCAGGGAATAAGGAGCAGCACTGACACTGAAGACCTAAGTGTGCGGGTACATGTTTATTTAGGTATGCATGTATTTATTACATAAGTTAATATGGAAGGAATCTACACGATGATGTACCCAGCTCTCATTTTATTAGGACTACATTGCCCACTCCCGCTTTAAACGTTAAAAACAGTGGCTTGAACTAGAACCAGAAACCTAGAGGGAGAGAGAGACATCGGCTCCTGATCAACTTAGGAATGAATCTGTATTCCACAGAAATGAAGAAATATGAATTTTGATGTTGCTGATAAATCCATTTCTGCTGTTAAAGTTATTGCTGTTGTTTCAGTACTGAAATTGGTTGCACTGGCAAAGTAGCACACAGCATCCAAGCTACTGCAATGCCTGTCTTTGCACACCCATAAGGATCTCAGCTGAGAACATGCAGTAGATAAGAACATCAGTTGGTGCTCCTGGGCTGGCAAGGTCCACTTTCTCCATGGGGCACAAATCTGGTCACTTATGCAGCCCTAGTGAACAAGCAGAACCCCAAGCAATATGGGGTTCAGTGGTTCAAGAAGGAGAATACTGCTCCTGGCTTAGCAGGAATAGGAATAGGTTAGCATGGTCCTGGGTGGAAAAGGGGAAGCATGAGAGGTTAGGAAATCCTGTGGATAAAAAAGAAAAAGGGCCATATAAGTCAGTGTACTTCAAATGTATAGGGTGTGTACTTCAGGTGCAGAAAGTTACAGATTTATTCCCTAGCAGAGGTGTTGCTAGGGATTAAACAGATATGGAACCCATGCCAATAGGACACAGAGGTGTATATATCATGTGCAAATATAAAAATAATTGATAGGATTTCTTTAAATTGCTCAGAAATTGAACCCATCCAATTAATTTCGCATCCAAACCACCTCAAATAAACTAAGTTCTTCCATTGTTTTGTCCCCTCATCATCCCAAACCAATGATTGTTATTCCCTCCATTGTATTGCCACACATACAACTATGAAGCAGTGTTGCAGCATGTAGGAAGGGGAGAGCTAACCTCTTCCTTGCCAGTTGCATTCCCCATTGAGACTTGCCCCCGGTATAGCAATTAAGCTGAGGGAAAAAATCTTCTTTTTTCATCCATAGACACAAGACTCTATGGAATACATCCAGAGTTCTGAGAATAGATTTAGGACTCAGACCTAGCAAGAGTCCAGGCTTAGCAACATTGTCATTTCCACTTAAGGGGACCACATATAGCAGGTAATGGAGCCGCCCCGAGGCTGTTGTAAGCCCCTCCGAGGCTTCGGCGAATGGGGCAGCATAAAAATGTTTTAATTAATAAATAAATAATGGAAAAGCATTGCTGGAAAGTCTGGAGAGCCACAAACAGCCATTGTTTGGGATGTACAAATGGAGCAAAAGCCATTCTGCACATGTTTTGTGGATTTCAAGATAGTTTCCACTCTGTCATCTGCCCATTGATGGACTTATAATTCACACAAATGTGTTTGTGCATATTTGCAAAAATTCACATTCAAGTAAAAGAATTTACATAAAACAGCCAAAAATAACAAATCTACCTGAAACAAGTACTTTAACATGTTAGTCTATGTTTTTTATTTCGTGCTGCTACAATATTATATTATAATATATAATATTATAGATTATATTCTTCCCTATAATATTAGGAAAGAAAGGCTACTGAGCCTAAAGAGTGGTGTACATGTAGTGCCATGTATGGGATTTGGCAGAGAAAAGACATGCCCTGTGAAGCCACCTAAAACTTAAATGAACCCATAAAAATAAAAAAATAGTGCTATTCTGTATTTAAAATACAGTTTAAATTATGTAGCACATCAGAAAAGTTACATTGACTTTAAGGACTGTTTGAACAAAATGGTCTAAGAGGTCAGCACTGGGGGGCTGGCCAGATAAGCTTCCCCTGATAGGCAGTTCCAAACTCTGGATACAGCCGCTGAGAAAGTTTTTTCTCAAATTCTGGACAAATGTACATCAAATGTTCTTGGAAGGACAGGGAGAAGAACCACTCAAAAACATCTCAACATCCAGGCAGGTACATATGAGAATATACTAGTCCTCAAATAACCTGAACTTGTCAGCACAGCGATATATCTGAATAGTACATAACACAGCTACTTTACAAAGTCTATAAAGGGAATTTTATAAAGCCCCTTTTTTATTTCTTCCCATAGAACTTCCTTATTACCTCCTTTTCGAAATTAAAGTTTGAAACTTTTGTGGAAAGTGTGAGTAAATAAGCTTTCAGATATAGATTCCTGAATTTTTGTTGGTTTGTTTTCATTTTTCAGGCACAGCTAAAAATTCAATTTGCAATGCAGTATAAAGGGAAAGAAGGTTTTTAAAAATTGATGCCAAGTGGGATCATAGGACATATGCTGATTCTTCAGTAGGAAAAGTCTTTGACTGTGGATGTTTTAAAGGACATAATCTAGTCCACTTCACTGAAGGCAGAAAAAAGAAAGACTGAGTGTAGAAACTAGAAAGTGAGATTAAACATTGTGTGAAGTTCTGAGTTTCTATTAGACACATCAAAGGCAAAGGGAGGGAAAGGCGTACACACAGGCCCAACAAATGGGCTTCTGCAGGTAATGGTGTACTCCAAACACCTTTCCTACAGACCTTAATACTTAGGTGAATTTCTGACAGGAAAAATAATCACTTAGATTTCAAGGTCTGAAGTTATTTAGGATGTTACAGATTGAAAACCATTCCTTCAGCTGAGCTTGGAAAGGAACTCACAACCTATGCAAGTCTTTCAAGACAGGTGTAATATGGTTGTGATATGATGCACCAGAATTTTGCATGAATTGAAACTTCATATGCTCTTCAAAGGTAGCCCCATATACAGTGCATCACAATAGTCTAAGCATAATGCAAGAAAGGCATGGGTAATTGTTTCAAATAACAAACTCAGGAAGGGTTGCAGCTGGCACACCCTTGTGCAAATACATTCCTTGCCACTACCACCTCCTGAAGATTTAGGGACGGTAAGGTAGGACACTCCCAAGCTACTAACTCAATCCTTCAGAATGAAGGAGACCCTTTCCAGACCAAGAGAATCTTCAGGTCAAGCTTCCTGCTAGTCAAAAACACATTCATCTTGTTTGTTTACCCTTCTCTAATCCATTATGTAACCCAGGAAATGTTCATGGTTTTCAACAGCTTCCCTCATGTTCAGTGAAAATAGAGCTGGGTGTCTTCAGCCTATTGATTGCCCCTTCCTACAAAGCTCTGACCTCTCCTTGATGTGCATGTAAATGCTAAATAGCTTAGAAGACTTTGTGGGGCACCATGGAGCAACAGCCGTGGAATCAAACAGGAATCCCTCATAGTGTTGTGATGAAGCTCTATGGGATCTGTCTCTCTAGTGTTCACTGTCTTCCTCTCGTGCTTGGCACGGTCTTGGGAAGCAAGCCAAGCCAAATCAAGTCATGAGGAAGTCCACAAATGTCCATGGAACAAAGCTTGTGCAACTGGAAGTCTTCTTCCACATCATGTGCAGCAGAGGAATGTTGCTTGTGCCATGGTCACATGCAGCTGCATCCCTGAGGGGTGCCACATGAATGCTGTGAATGCACACCAGGAACTCAGACCTGTGGCCCCAGTAAAGCAGATCAGGGTCTGGGCAGCTG